CCCCCCCGCCAAATGGGTCTGTTTCAAGTAAAGTCCTTGAAATGCAGATAAAAAAAGGTCACAGTTAATAGTGTGGAGGAACAAAAGATAATATCCCTTTCCAGATAAATTACTGCCGTCTACCTTGATTTGCTAACGTTTCGGAAGGCCTGAGCCAGAATCAGAGGTGCCGTCCCAGTGTGAGTGTGACCTCCTCTGTCTCTCGCGGCCATGCCCCAGCCTGCCATTTAAGAGCAGCAGCGCGTCGTCACTGTGCATGCTGGAAGGGAGAGGCGCCCTAGGCAAAGGGGCCAGGCGATTGCGTTCCAGCTTCGCGAAGGAAAGGCAGTGGGACGGGGCCCGTGGCCCCCGGGCCGTGTGCGGACGGGCTGATGGAGAGGCGGTGCGGGGGGCCGCGGGGGTGCTGCCGCTCCTCGTGTTCAGGGCCTGGCCTGAGTGCAGCATGAACAGTGAACACGGCCGTTCGTTCTCTTTGCCCTCAGAGGCCTCCTTCCCGGGGAGCACTGCACTGTGTTGATTTTGGGGACGCTACAGGGCTCTGGCACCAACAGGACAGTAAAATTATTTTATGGGAAGACTCATTTACCGAAGTACCTGCCTAGTGGTATGCCGTTATTGTTTCTCAAGCACGGCCACCCACAGGTGGTTATTGTTGGATCTAGACTTCTGGACATCCTGATGCCTATAGACGCACTCCAGCCCGCGACGAGACTCTTGCATGGGCCTGACGTTGTGTCAGGTGACGCTTCTGCTTTGGAAAGCGCCTCATTATTTTAACTATTGCTGAAGAGGTGTTTTGGCCTGGGTAGGGGGCTCCCAAGTGTGTTGAGTGGCTTGTCATACACAGGCGATGGGAGGAACCGCCCCGCAGGACACATGGGTTTATCGCGTACACTTGAAAACGCTCACTGCTCCCCGCCAGACTTGGGCGGCTCAGCTTCAGACGCCGCGTGACAGAGGCCTGGAGCCCGCCCCAGCGGCTCAGTGGGCTGAGTGCCGTCCTGCGCACAGAAAGGCTGCCTGTTCGATCCCCGGGCAGGACACACACGGAATGCTTTCCTCTCCCTCTCATTCTCTCTCCCTTCCTCTCTCGGAGCATGTCCTTGGGTGACGATTAAAATAAAAGAGGCATGGAATCGAACAGTAAAGGGCATTTAAACGAAGAGATAAGGCCAGTATCTTCCAGGGTTTAGGCACGTAAGGAAGATGGCATAACTGACGGGCCCGGTTAGCTGATGGCACAGATGCTTGTTCTTTCCCGTGTGGCTTCGGTGCCCAGGCAGGGCTTCCCGAGAGCGAATGCATGCTTTGAGTCTCGCATTTGGAGCTCTGCGAAGGAAACTCGGCCCTGTTCCCCCCTCCGAGCTCAGCCGCAGCTCCAAGTCCGTGCACGGTCTTCCTCCAGTGCGGTGTCCGAGCTGGCGTCCCGCCGTGCGACACAGGAGACACGTGTGAGGAGCGTGGTACCGAGCAGCGGGGAGAGAGGCTGGGCGGAAAGTGAAGCGGTGAAGCAGGAGGGAAGACAAGGGGGTGCGGAGGTGGTGTGGGGTGGGCGGCGGAGAGAAAAGTTAGATTGTGCTCTTTCTTAAAAATAATCCTCTTGCCTCCTCCACGGTGCGCTTTTTTCCCCTGAGTTAGCAGCTGCCGTCCTCTGAGGGTTGCCCGGAGCGTGGGTGGGAAGGTGGTCCTCAGTGACACAGGCTCTGGAAACACAGCAGACTTCCCAGCATAGGTGGCTTTGATCTCTGAACTTCTCATTTTGTTAGTGTCCTGGGATATTTATGGGGAAATCACAGGCCACTTGGAGTCTGCAGAGACTGAAAATGTGTAAGATGTTGGGAAACAGCTACAAACAGAACATCCTGTTCAGTGTGATGTGTAATGTGTTTCTTGACGAGCTTGAGCAGGCCCCAGCGCCCGGAGGTGCCAGCTGCTGGGCACGCGTGTGTCTGGCCCTGTGGAAACCATCTCCCTAGTATGTGTGTGCAGACGCTCTTTCGGTTGTCTGGTGTTCTGTTTAAGCTGCTTGGATGTGTCCCAGAACTGATGGATCTGTGCTGGTGAACGTTGTTCTGTGGGCCTGGAACAATGGGTGCCCGTGGGTGCCCCTGTTATATTCAGGAAACTGAAACAGAGAAACGGGCAGCTGCTTTTGTTTAGTGCTTCCCGGTAAATGGACAGACAGAGTAGCTTTGCATAAGAGCCACGATTATTGGGGGTTTTGTCATTTGACTTCCCCTTTTCCCAGTGCACACCCCTAGGCCCTCCTCCGACCTGACTTTATTCTTCTTGGTGAATTTATACTTTTTCTTGATTTATAAATGTTTTTGCCCGGCCGGGCGTGGCTCAGCAGTTGAGCGTCGACCTGGGATCCAGGCGATCGGGGTTCGATTCCTGGTCAGGGCACAGGCCCGGGTTGCGGGCTGCAGCCCATCAATGACTCATCACTGATGTTTCTGTCTCTCTCTCCCTCTCCTGTCCTCTCTCTGAAATCAATAAAGATATATTAAAAAAAAAAGTTTTCAACTAAGGCCCTTACTTCCTATATCATAAGGTAGGATTTCTTTTTCTCTGTGCCATTTGCATATCCCCAACGTGAATCCGTGTGCAGGAGATCTTTGGAATGTGTTTGGAATGAGGTAGATTCTTTGCCTGTTAGGAAACAAAACAAAACACAAAATCACAAAAAACTATACTGTCTCCTTCATATTCTTCTCCGTTTTTTTCATCTTATATAAGTGGGAGGAAGCACTTTATCTTTAGGAAGTACTTCATCTTTAATATAAAAACAAAAGCTTTTTATATTAAACGACGGAAAACTTAACCTCTTCAGAAGGGGCACCTGTGGTGTGATTTTGCGGGAGAGGCCGCCGATCGCAGCAGTTGGCGGCCTGTTCGAGCGGGGCCGCGCCTGAATCCCAGCTCCTACCAGCAGCGTAACCTTGGCAAGATACTCACCTCTCGGAGCAGGTTCCTCATCTGTGAAGAGGGATACGGCAGAACGTAACTCCTAGCGTCCCGAGTGTTAAGTGAGTGGCGCATCTAGTGAGCAACAGTGATGAGCAGTTGTTACTTTGAATTACTCTGCACACACGCCTCAAGCTCACCTTTTCCATTCCGTGTACACAGGTAACGCCAGAGCTCTGCGGAGAGCTCCCTGTGAGTGCTGACCGTTCCCTTAGCTCTGCTGGCCTTTTCTACTACAGACGCCCGCTGGCTCTTCCTTTGCTTTAGCCGTCAGCGTGGCTCCTGGCTCCCAGTGGCATCTTTGGAAGAACTAACCAAAATCCAGCCTCTCAACTCGCTGATGGGTGTCAGCCTGGGTGCTGGTTGGCAGGAGTAGGGACCAAGCAAACGGGGCAGAGGTGATTCCTCTTATGCCGCTCTTTTGTGTAGAATTCTGCCCCTAGCAGGTGGCTCTGCTGACCGAGTGTGTCCTTGGATTTAGTCAACACTTGCAATTCCCGGTTCTGGGCCACTGACAGCAAATGGGCCATTCAGTTTCTCACGAGAAGGATCTCTTTCTGGATCTTGTGTGTGTGCGTGTGTTTCTCAGCGAAATGAATCTGATTAGAAGGGCTTTTGGGCGAGACAAGTCAGCAACTTGAAGGCAGTGCTGTGCAGAAGGGGAACATGTTTGGCATACT